CTGGTGCAAGAACCTGATGCCTACATCTTCACTGGACAGCAGTTTCCTTGTTACTAACTCCTTTTTTTTTTTAATTAAAGTATGGGGGGTTGAACCCAGGACCTCGTGTATGCTAAGGTCTACCACTGATCTAGAACCCCTCCCCTCTCCTTGTCACTAACTTTCTAACTGCACCTTTTTGCACTTGGTTCTCAGTTCTCCCCTGGACTGGGCCCCACCCAGTTTGCTCTGCTTGGCTTGTACAATCTTCTGACCCCTGTCAGGCCCTCTCTTTAGGGTCCTGCCCTCCATTAAACCAATCACACACACACACAGGAGGGAGAAGTGTGGATTTTTTGAGCCCAAAACGTATGGTATTTTCAAACATTCCCATTTGTAATACACTTTCATGGGACCCAAGCGCCCTCGGGGGAATGACTTCCCTTGAACAAATGTGTTTGGAAGCATCCAAATTTCAAATGAGATGAGTGAGCACGATTGAAATATACAAACAAGTTGAAACAGAAAATTTCTACATTTAAAGGCCAAAATCGTCTTCCTGAGCTTCCAGGCTCCTCTTACCTGGGAGTGATTTAAATACAAGGGAGAATCGATTCCCTGTTTTCTGCACCTGGCTAAAATTAGCTTTTAAATCACTGGGTTTTATGCTGCGGTAGTGCGCTCGGTCCCCTGTGACTGCACCGTGTACTGGCTCTTACCACCTGCTGATTACCTGTGATTATCAACCTGGCCAACTTGTAAAGTGGCTGCCATTTAATGTTTCAAATCTAAAGGAGTTCATTAGTTCTCTAGTCATTCCCTTGGTCCTAGATTTTATGCCTCAATTTTTTTATTTCGTTTGGTACAACTGGAGTTGAGTTGTCCCCAAATGGATAAACTCAACCCCAGGATGACTTTGGGCGTCTCATTCAGGATTCTGATTTTCATGGCCTGCCCAGACAAGCCCCAAATTAATTTCATGGCAGAAGACTTTCCATACTTATGATGAGGATAGATTTTCCACTTCATGTGACACTCCAAGGGACTCGATCCTGCTGGCATTTGCCGGTCAGCAAAACATAATGAACACTGCGGGACTCCCACCTCTCTATTTGGGTTTAGTTTCTGGATGTTTTGTTGATCATACACTTCCTCAGGTCAGGGGTGAAGCTTTGAAACAGAGCCTTTCTCTGGAAAAATTCTCTGAATTCTCTCTTCTAGCTTTGTGCTAGAATGTGACCATGTCTTGTTTTTCCTGCTACAAAGTATAAGACTGGAGTTATTGTCATTGTTTTGTTTTGATCTCTTACTGAAGTATAGTTGACTTACAATGTTTCAGGTGTACAGCAAATAATATATATATATATTCTTTTTCAGATTATTTTCCATTATAGGTTATTACACGATATTGAATACAGTTCCCTGTGCTATAGAGTAGGTCTTTGTTGATCACCATTTTTTAATATTTATTTTTTTAAGTTGAAGTATAGTCAGTTACAATGTGTCAATCTCTGGTGCACAGCACAATGTCCCAGCCATGCATATACATACATATATTCATTTACATATTTTTTTCCATTAGAGGTTATTACAAGATATTGAACATAGTTCCCTGTGTTAATCACCATTGTTTTTAAAAACCATTTCCCCCAATGCCAAACTCAGAGGGGATCCCATTAGGGGAGCCCAGTATGGTAACTCCTTGGAAGTATCTGAATTGATAAGATGTGGATTCATGATGTTATCCATAGTCAAAGAAAGGAACGTGATTTTAGGTATTGAATAAGCCATTAAAATTTTTCTTGGTTGGAGTAAAATTAATTTACAGAAGGTAATAGTCAACCCCTGTTGAGAGTTTTATTACATGCTAGAATAACTATTCTAGGAGATTTAGATTTATTAGCTTATTTAATTCATTTTAAATTAAATTTTCATTTTTTATACAATTTTCAAAGGTTACTTTCCATTTACAGCCATTACAAAATATTGGCTATATTCCCCGTGTTGCACAATACATCCTTGAGCTTGCCTTACACCCAGTAATTTGTGCCTCCCACTCCCCCACCCCTTTATCACACCCCCTTCTCTCCCTCCCAACCCCAAAATCACTAGTTTGTTCTCTGTATCTGAGTCTGCTTCTTTTTGTTATATTCATTAGTTTGTTGTATTTTTTTTAACTCCACATGTAAGTGATACCATAGAGTATTTGCCTTTCTCTGTCTGACTTA